GGCGGGCCGGGGGCCCTTTTTGTCGCTTAGAATTTTTTTTTTTTTTTTTTTTTTTGTGGTGCAGATTTGGCCCTTCGGCAAATGGAGTCGCTGCAGATGAGACGGACACTTTTTAAAGTAATCAGGGAGAGATTTCCATATAAACTTTGTGTAAGGACACAAAGTTCTTACAGTTTTTAAAAGAAAGCCAAAAACAATTCAACAAAATGGATAATAATTTGCTCAAAAAGTAAAATAAATGTACACATTCAGGGAAATTTCATTCTAATGTTGGTTTTGATAAAAAACAAAAATCTGTTCAATTTATTGTTGCGTAGGTAAAGGAGGAAGAATTCAGAATGATATTATTGTTTTGTTTTTTAATTGGGAGAAGATGCTGATTTTGGCCCCCGAGGACTTTCAACATGTGGATTTTGGCCCTCGGTGGAAAATGTTTGGACCCCACTGCCGTCACAAACTCGCCTTCATGAAAGCTGGTGTGTAGGCATCAGGTTCTACCGGACCGTCATAACCCGACTCCACTCGTCTGGTCTTTGCTCTGAGAGTTTTGAACCCTCGGCTCTGAAGCCACACTACGAGGAGAAAACAGAAACGCTAAAATGTTAATCCATTCATGGCCTCTGAGTAGAGGTTAAATGTAAGTGTCTCACCAGGCAGCAGCTGGAGTTCAGAGCAAGCGTCCCGAAGAGGGCTGTGGTACCGACGGTGGAATAACGGAGAGCCATGACCCAATAGTCTTTTTTGTGAAAACCCTTTGTGTAAAAAAAGAAATGTTTCAGGGGTTTTTCTGGTGAAATAAAACAAAAGAACAGCAGAGCAGGTTGATCTTCTCACCATATTTGTTCTGAAAGAAGCTGTCTGCAGAAACGTGGCTAGTCTTCCATATTGAGGTAACGGTGGGAGGTTCTTCAAGACTCGGTGGGGGCAGTAACCTGCTGACCAGCTCATTCAGCTGACTCCCCTGGACCTCGGAGAGGCCCAGATCCCTCGGCTGGCAGCAAACAACAGCAGCAGTGAGACAAAGACACACAAAAACAACAAGCCGTGCAACTTCCAGGAGTTTTATGGGCCTGGTTTCTTTGGATTAGGGTTGAAATGGACAATTCAAATAAACTCTGATCACTAAATCATTTTAATATGCTTCAGAATTCATAAAAAATCAAAATTTTGGCAAATTATCCAAAAAGTGTTACTCATATTGTGGATTAATTGAGTACAGATTCAGCAACTTAAACCATTTATTTCTGTTCGTTTGAATTATCATCGCTCACAACTAATAGAAAAAATGGCAGCTGGACAAAATCAAGGCTCATTAGATTAGATGTGGTTGGGCCATCATTCAACTATATTTACAAAGTAATGAGGAATAATGTATTCAGCTGTTTAGCTTGATATTTAAAGATATTGTTTTGATTTTTTATTTATTTTTGTTAATTCTCCTTTGTTTTTCCTGCTGTTGCAGGGCGATTCTGTATCATGAATGTGCTTCTAATCGCTTTCATTTGCACAAAATTAAGAAACTGTGAGCAAATATTGCTATCAGTTGCAACACATGTCTATTTTTGTGTTTCCTCTCATCTGGACTTTCATCACTCTTTGATCTTTAGCGTTTTGGGGGAATGTCATATTTGGTGAGAGCATCTGCTGCTGAGAAACTCTGTCCAACTGGCTAAATATCACAGCAAATGTCCCTGTAAAAGAAACATTAATAACTTGTCGCGAGTACTTTTTGAACTGCAACCAATATCTTGACTTAAACGATCAAGATGCACCTACCTCTACTTCTAATCCTACCTTCTTCTTTAAATCTTTACTTACTTGATTAAAAATACTTTTTGATACATTGTGAATGTCAGGTACTCCTATCACCTCTTTCAGGTATGACTTGTGCTCCTGTCTGAAGTCTTTGTGCAAAGAGTGGACTGAAGCTGTAGCTGAGCTCTTCAGCGAGTGGAGGGTGTTGAGGACCTGGCTGAGAGGAACCACCATCTGAGAGAGCATGAAGACAGGACAGTGAATAACACGCTTTCCCCACATGTTGATCCACGGTGACCCGCTTAACCTTGACTTTATTTATAGCCACTAATCGATCATAATAGTTAATATGTAATAAACTGGAAGTAGATTCAGCTAACCTACTGACAGCAGGTCAGGATTATGTCAGTTTCAGTCACATGCTTCTTAAGTACTGAGACTGTCTGTACCGACACGTTTACATCAATTGTTGTAATAGCTATAATATAGATAAAAATGAACAGCTGTTAACAGTCGAAATGACGCAAGCATCGGCTCATGTGGATGAAATGTAGCGTTTACGAGCTAAACCCTTAGCATTAGCCGAGTCGAGTTGTCATTGGCTAAGAACAAAAGTCACAACTAAAACAAGCGTAAACATAGGCGTTTACTGCTTATGAATGACTTTAATGTTTTTAAAACAAGAGTTAAAGTGACAAACTGAAACTTTTGTCGGATACATGCAGACAAGTTAATCATATAATCAACCCGCTTCTCAGTCTGTCCGCTTACATACCTGCTGTGGCTGAAATGACGTCGACAGAGAAAACATTTTTCTCCCGTAAGTATTTGCTAGAATCTGTCTTCGGTGAGTTACAATGAGAGGACAGAACCTCAATAAAACGTTAACAATCAAGTCCTGCTCACAGCGCTGTCCTTTTAGCTTCCCCCGTTACACAACTCTCAATAGTTACACAACTTTTCTTTTAGCTAACATCGGGAAATGGATTCTCCCCCCGGCATCTGATGTCAAATGGACTACAAAATGACGCAGATCAGTTAACACTACCAGGAACGAGTGGCGTCCTTGCCTCGCCTGTTTAAAAATGACTCTACTTATTTTGAAAAATGATACGTAATGAGGATATTTGATCAATGCTTGCGTTCTTAAATATCAATATAAAATCTTTAAATCATTGAAAATTTTTGTTTTGCTGAAAGATTTTATACAGGCAGTTTTTTGAGTACCTACACACGTCACAGGACCCCGTGACAGGCAGGGAATTCAAATATTCAAAACAAACTCCGCACTGTTTGTTGTTCTGCCATGGTAGTGTTTACGCTGGACTCGCTACCGGATTTTAAGTGAAATTATTTCATCGTTAGAATGGAGGTAAAAAAGAAGCACAAAGTTGGTTCAAATGTAAAATCAATGGAAATACCGAGGCCTCCTTCGATCGATGATTTCACCGTTTTGAAGCCCATCAGCCGCGGCGCCTTTGGAAAGGTCTACCTCGCTCGGAAGAAGAGCAATGCGCGCTTATACGCTATTAAGGTGAGTCGATACACCTTTAGTTAAATTTTATTACATTTATTTGGTAGTTTTTTGTATGAAAATTGGATAATATTATCTTTTGTCGTTGTAGGTGATGAAGAAGGCAGACATGGTGGATAAAAACATGGCGAGTCAGATGAAGGCAGAGAGAGACGCCCTAGCTCTGAGCAAAAGTCCCTTCGTTGTTCACTTGTTTTACTCCCTCCAGACTGCAGCCAAGATCTATCTGGTAATGCTGAGTGAAAGAGTTCAAAATAATTTTTATTTAAAACATCTCTAGTGGACTCAGTTCAGTTCTCTTTATTAACCTCGAAGGACAAAGTGCTTTCATTATTTAGTCATTATAGTGCTAAATTTACATCTTCAGGGTTATTCCAGGTATTATTAATAGCATCCATCAATCCAGTCATTCTCTATTAGATAATCAGGAATATGTAATGGTCTCACACACTGTTTTGTGAAACCAGAACATTTTATTGATTAAGCCAAAGCCATGAAAAATACAATATATTGCCAAAATATTCAGACATTTCATTTTAAATTATTAAATTATTATGTCTAATCACTTACATGGCTAAAGGTATATAATATGCCTTGGTATGCAGCCTATTTGTGCAAACATTTGTGAAACAATGTGTCGCTCTATTGCACATTCGTGCAATAATTTCCTTCCTACTAAACATTCCACCGTTGGTTATTAGCCATATCCTAACAAAGTGTTTGTTTTATTGATCAAAGGTGATGGAATACCTCATCGGTGGGGATGTGAAGTCTCTACTCCATATTTATGGATATTTTGAGGAGGACATGGCTGTGAAGTATATCTCTGAGGTTGCGTTGGCTTTGGACTACCTTCACCGCCACGGCATAATCCACAGGTAACAGGCTGTGCAAGAAGATGTTGATGTTTTATCACAGCAAGTGATCAATGCTCATTGTGTGATCTGATGCGCTCAGGGACCTGAAACCAGACAACATGCTCATATCCAACGAAGGCCACATCAAGCTGACAGATTTTGGGCTCTCAAAGGTCAAGCTTGACAGAGGTAAACAAGGGTGAATTCACATCAGACTTGTTTAGTTTGCTTTAATCAAACTGAAGTGTTTTTGCCTAGAAAGTCAAACACACAGTTTATTTGTGGAGGTTTGAATGCATCAGTGAACTCTGGTCCACCTAAAAACCTTGGTCTCGGTTCGGTTGAAGTGAACTCTGGTGCAATTTGAATGCATATGTGAATGTAAGCGGACCAGAGACTCCTCCAACAGCAGGAAGCAGACTGTAGCACAGGGCATTCTGGGTAAATTGAACCAACATAAACGCAGCAGTCCAACACCAGCTGGAGAAATGGGTTGTGGTCTTGTACCAAAGACAAAAGAGAAATTGTAAAACTGCTAAAATCTGACGCTACTCCATTTTTGTTTACGTCTCATGAAGAAGGAAGTTGCGTTCATGTCGTCTTCAAAAGTTTTTGTATAATTTTCTTCTGTGGTTCTTGATGCAGCGCCATCACAGGCGAAGAGGTTTTTCAAAGAGTTTGGTGAACCGCATCAGCTGAAAATGTAACAAATGTTGCAAATTTTGTCCCCATCCAAAACCCTAAACCTGCAACCATGAGCTGCTTCATTGTTATTCACTTCTTAATCTGTGTGTAAAACAGAGCTGAGTCTTATGGACATCCTCACGACTCCATCTTTGGCGAAACCGAAAAACGACTTCTTCCGCACGCCTGGTCAAGTTCTCTCTTTGATCAGCTCCCTGGGATTCGTAAGGATCGCCTAAACCATTAATCAGAAAAGGTGATCGGCATGAATGTGGACTCTAAATCCTCTGTTTGTTTTTGGGATCTGCAGAACACGCCGGTAACAGAAGGGAAGCGGCACTGCAGCGCCTCGGTTGTGTCCAGCCCGATGTCCTGCAGCAAAGTGAAGCAGAAGAACAACTCGCTTGGTTCTCCTGTGATGAACAACTCAGAACAGCTGTTTTCTCCAGCTGACTACCTTTGTAAAATGAGTATGAAATTAATTCTAACTTCATTTAAATTGTTTCTCTTCTGTGGAAAAGTCCCAGATCTTAACCACAGTCCACATATTTTCAAAAGAGTTGAGGTCACAGCCCTGTTTTATTTATCTATTGTTTATTTCTAATATTGTGTATATATAATAAGCTTAAGTGATGAAAAAAATCTCCAGAAGGTAAAACGTTAAAATAAGTGCAGTTAACATGACTTTTCTTCCCATGGTTTATGTTAACTCCTGCAGGACCTAACACCAGAGTTTTCAGTCCTCATAAACTGGCAAAAAACTTGACTCCCAATTTGCTGAGGAGCAGCAGAAAACGGTTTGAGACGATGAGCCCCGGAAGCACCACCGACACCGAGGGGGGTGTCAGTCCTTTGTGGGAGTGTGAGGTCAGTGATGGCGGAACAGCAGCAGCTCCAACTTCGTTTGCTGCTAAATTAAACAGTTACAGTTTCTTCTTCATTTAGAAAAGAAACAGAATATGGTGTATTAGGACCATCAGAGATAGAAACAAATGAGTAAATGTAAAAGACTCATATTTTGAGATTAATCTAAGAAATCTAGAAAAAAAAGACATTTCTGAGTTTAAAAGTGAAAAATATTCTACAAAACTCAAATTTTGAGATTTATCTCAGGAAATTTCTAGAAAAAATTTAAATATCTGGCTTGAAATGTCAAAATATTCTAGAAAAAATGTGGAAATTTGAGAAATTAAAAGTTGAAAATTTGCTAGAATAAACTCAGAAATTTTGAGATACAGACATAGATATTTCTGACAAATTAAGTCAAATGTTTTATAAAAAAAAACAGAATTTTTCTAGAAAAGTGAATTTCTGCTTTGAAAAGTCAAAAATTATTAGAAAACTCAAATTCTGAGACTAATATCAGGAATTTTGTAGAAACTTGTAAACTTCTGAGTTTCAAAAGTGTAAAATTTTCTGTGTTTTCCTTAAATAAACAAAATCAGACAAAACAACAACAAAATAAATAGAATGACCAGAATTTTCGATTTTTTTGAAACTCGGAAATTTAAAGGTTTTTTTGGTGGGAATTTACTCCTTTTTTTTCTCTCTACAATGGACCTAGTACTCTAAAATAAATGGATAAATGTTCTTCTTTCTTTAGAAAGAAAACGAGCAGGGGTCAAGAGGATGTGGAGTTTCTACTAAAGATGCCCCTAATCTGCCCAAAAAGTCCAGCTCTCCCATCAGGAAACGTCAACCGTTGTCCGCGGTTCGGCGCCATCTTGAATCAGAGCGAGATAACAGCCAGCCAACAGTTCCCTCCTCTGTAAAGAGGACATTTTCAGACATGAACCGAAGTCCAGAGCTGCTGGAGACCAGAGCCAAGAAGACAAACGCAGAATACAAGAGATTCTTTGAGGTTCCCGACACCGCTCTGAGTCACACTGGTCTGACTGGGACGTTCTCCACCATCCAGATTGGCGACTTCTTGACCACTACAGGAAACATGGCGGCGGACCACTGCGACCCGAGGCGCTCCAGCCCAATCCCCGTCAAAAGTCTTTTCAGTGAGCTGGAGGAGCCGGCAGAGGACGTGTTTCAAGACGGAACTAAAGAGCCGTCCCAGTGCAGTTTCACGTCCCCGCTGCCGGGGAACGTGGACGTCTGCCGGAGCCTGAGCCTGGACTCTGACGGCTCCATCCATGAAACGTCTCTCACCGTTGACTGTAACGCTTCTCTCCAGCCAATCAAACCAGAGGAGCACGAGCGGCGCTCCGAGTCGCCTCAACGGACTTTCCCCGTCACCATAGAAACGCCCAAACTAGTCGAGTCCGACCTGAGAGGCGAATTCCTCCATAGCCGAATCCATGACATGTCCTGCAGCTTCTCGCAGTCTCCGTCCTTCCTAAAGCCACGGAACGTTGTGGTTTTCCGCAGCTACTGCAGCTCCATCAACCGCTCCAACACGTCCGGGGTTTCCAGGCTCAGCGTGGGCTCCGTGGAGGCCATGGACGTGTCCGCCGCCGCTTCCTGTCACTCTGCCTGCGGCACGGCAACGCCTGTGCAGCGGCGGCGAAGCTCCAACGGTTCCGTTAACCAGGTCAGTGTTCAGGGGTGGAGGCCGAAGAATGTAATTTTAAAAAATGTATCTGAAATTTTTTTTAAAATATAAAATGTAATTTTAAAAAAAGTTATTTAATTAATTGTATTCTGGATTTTTTAAATTAATCTTAAGTTTCGTATCTTAATTTATTTGTTTGATCTTTCTTATTATTTATTTGACCTAGATTTTATTTTAATTTTGAAACGTTTTTAAAATTAAACATATTTTACTTTTTAAATCCTTTTTGCGTTAATATTTTTGAAGTCTGGATTTTTTTTTCTTATATTTTTATATCCCTGCTTTGGTTTTTATTCATCTTGGTTTAATTTTTTATTTAGTGCTTGTGTTGTGGGGTTTTTTTAAATTATGTTGTCTTTTTATGCATTTTGTCTTGATTAG